GACAAAAAAGGGAAGGAGCCAAGAATAGAAGGCTGGGGCAACCAGCAAGGCCTGTTCTTTCAGATTCCTCTCTGTGTCCCTGGTCTTTGGAGGTAAGGGTGCTCCTTTGCTTAGGGTAGGGGGAGGGCACCTCTCACTTGAGGGTTTTATGACCTGCTTCAGGGGAGGGTCAGGAAGTCTTTCCTGCACATATTCCTCAAATTTATTCAGCTTAAAATAGTATACCAAGATGCCATATCTTGGGGTAGTATGTTCTGAACCCTGTCATACTGCATCATGTATCAGTTGCTATTGCCACAATCATTCTGTATAACAGACCATCCTAAAATTCACACTTACAGGCTTGTGAGTCTACTGGAAGTTGGCCCTACAGGCCTGGCTTAGCAGGGTGGCTCTGCTTAACACTGTTGGTCTCACTGGGCTTGCCTTATTACTGTCAGCTTTGGGCTTAGTCGGCTCCACATGTACGCATTCATTCTGAGCCCGAGGTTAGCGGGGAGGCAGCTACACGGTGGCTATGGCCCAAGTGCAAAAGAACAAGCTCAGCCAAGCTCATTTGAAGCCTTTGCTTGCATCACATCTGTTAACACGTGTTTCCTTTGACCAAAGCAAGTCACGTGGCCCAGGCCATAGTCCAGGGATGGGAAAGACTTGCAGAGGGTGTGGAATCGGAGGCGATTAAGAACGGGGCCAGAGGGGCACTTGGGTGGCTCAGTCGGTTGAGCATCTGACTCTTGGTTTGGGCTCAGGTCGTGATCTCATGGTTTGTGAGTTTGACCCCATATGGAGCTCCACGCTGACAGTGCAGAGCCTGGAATTCTTTCTCTCTCTCTCTCTCTCTCTCTCTCTCTCTCTCTCTCCCTCTCTCTCTAAAAAACTTAAAAAAAAAAAAATAAAAGAATGAGGCCAGAAATGAAAGCCCTCACCTTTACCTGGCTAAATCCTACCTGCTCTTTAAGCTTCATGGCTCAATTCAAATTCTGTCTCCCTTATGGGCTGCATAATCTTTCAACCAAAAGAAATTGCTTTTTCTAAAATCTCATTTTATTTTGTATCTCTCATAAGAGATGTATTACTTCCTACTTGTATCGATTTATAAGTACCTCCTTCTACCATGGAAAGTCCTATAAGGCAGACTTTTGGCTAATGCATCTTGATATCTTCAATATATTTGTATCTAAAAACTAGTAGAAGTTTTTTTTTTTAATTTTTTTGTTTAATTTGAGATAGAACGCGGTGGGGGGGAGGAACAGAGGGAGACAGAGAGACAGAGACAGAGAGAGAGAGAGAGAGAGAGAGAGAATCGTAAGCAAGCTACGTGCTTAGTGCAGAGCCTGATGCAGGACTCGATCTCACAACTATGAAATCATGACCTGAGGCGAACTCAAGAGTTGGATGCTCAACTAACTGAGCCACCCAGGAGCCCCACTAGTAAAAGTTTTAAATGAGAAGAAACTATAGATTTTTGTTCATTATGGTAAAATATACATACTATAAAATTTACCATTTTTTTAAATTAAAAAACAATTTTTAATATTTATTTTTGAGAGAGAGGGAGAGGAAGTGTGAGAAGGCGGGGGGGGGGGTGCAGAGAGGGAGACACAGAATCTGAAGCAGGCTTCAGGCTCTGAGCTGTCAACACAGAGCCTGACGTGGGGTTCGAACCCACAAACCATGAGATCACGACCCAAGCCAAAGACGCTTAACTGACTGAGCCACGCAGGTGCCCTTGAAATTTACCATTTTAAAATGTATGTAGTTCTGTGGCATTCAGTACGTTCACACTGTGCTACAGATTGTTTTTAATCATTTTCATCTGACTCCTCACATGCATGGGACTTGCATACTTCTTTTGGAAGGAATTCCTTGATGTGGATTTGTGAAGGAGAGAGTTCTCTCTTACCCGCTTTCTCTCTGTCCCCACTCCCTTTCTCTCTCTCTTTTTTGGCTTTTTTTAGAGCAGATGTTCTTTGCAAATAGTTGTCAATTTATTCTGTGTTCAGACTCTTCCAACCTCGCTGCCATAGCTGAGGTATATATTTTGGATTACAACAATTTAACAGATCCCCCTATAGTGTGAGTTGTAAATAGGCATGAGGCACAGAACAGAATGGAAATGGGGAAATGATACATCATAATGCTAATCTCAAAGTCTTGGCAGAATAACATTAACATGAATTTTTGGCTCTTCTTTAGGATGAAAAATAGCTTCGAAATTCACATTCATCCTAATAAATGTTGAACATATAAACAGTTTTAGTTTATGTTTGTGGAAGAGCTTGTTCAGAATTCTTTCTGAAGATTAGTACAGAAAATTCATGTTCTTTCAGAGAGAACGTTGGATATAAATGATGATTTCCAATGAGGCAGAAAAATGGAGTATTGTTATTTGTGGTAGAATTTTCTTCAATCTCATACCGTTTTCCTATTATTGACAGTCTTTACTATGTTCTGAGTTCCTTGGCAAATTTTCTCGATACCCATGATTATAGAATCTTGTGATGTTTTATGGTCATTAAGTGTCAAAGGGCCTAAAGGCTAAGGTGGTAGGAACATTTCTTACACTTCAAAAGTTTTGAGACGTGCTATAGTGGGGTTGTGTGTGTGCATGTGTATTAGACTTTCTTAACGTTTACTTCAAGCATGTAATCTTTGGAGAGTGCAAATTAGTTAATTAATTATTAATTAAGTATATGAGCTGGGGATTTGAAATCTGGTTTCTCTCTCTGATTCCCCGCCCCCCCCCCCCCCCCCCCCCCGCTTTTTTAAGTTTATTTATTTCTTTTGAGAGAGAGCACAAGCTGTGAAGGGGCAGAGAGACAGAATCCCACGCAGGCTCCACACTGTCAGCGCAGAGCCTGACATGTGGCTTGAACCCACGGACTGCAAGATCATGACCTGAGTGAGCTAAGATCAACAGTTGGATGCTTAACTGACTAAGCCACCCAGGCACCCCATCTTTCTGATTCTTTGAATGTATTATTAGACTAAAACCTTCCACTACCCATGTTTTAGCTTCCTTCTCTTGAAGGATATTGAAGGGAAAATACTGGCGATAGAAAAAAAAAAAATGTGTGGTCATGTGAATAACTACATCCTACTTATCACATCAGTTTCTATCTTAAAATATCCAACCTAATATGGACTCTCTAATTAATTTTTAATAATCCCTCTAATTAATGTTTAAATGGATTTTTTAAAACTCTAGGTCTATTTGTGATGATTTTTTTCCTTCACTTTTTAATTGATAACCAGCATTTGCCTCTTCAACGGGGGCCAAGAGAGCCATATGAGAAGCCTCTGCCTTGTTGACAGTGAAGCAATTAACTTATGTGGGTTCAGGCCTGTAAATCATCTCCCATGGTGCCTGGGGCATAGGATATGCTCAGTAAATGCTAGATCTTGCCCACATATTTGAAATCAGGGTCACTTGCAGTTGCTTTGGATCTTTAGGAAGAGTATAAGGGCTTGGCGTTGGCTCCTGGAGAAGGAGAGAGCATCAGGCCAGAGAGACACTAATCACCCCCTGGGCATGTTTCAGAAGAAGACTGAGCAAGAAAGCTCTACATGGTCCATACAGAGAGGACCTTCCTTGCCATTGTTACAGAATTTTATTTAGATCACAAACAACAGAATCAATGAGGCAGAAAGTAAGATGAAAATCTTCACATAGTTGGTTTACCATGTTTACTGAATCTCTGCTCTGTGCCACATGTTTTAGAGATAAAGGAGTGTAGGAAGTAGGCAGTGTTGACTTGTCCTCAGGGAGGAGCTCAAAGCAAAGGTGACCACGTGTCCCAGTTTGCCTGGCAAATTATGCAATGAAGCTACTAACGTGGAAGACAGGTATTAAGAAACAAGAAGAGTAAATTGGCTGACTAGTGTGGACGTGAACGGAGAAGACCTTTCCGAGGAAATGACTCTGAATAGGAAACCTGAAGCATGAGAAATAGGTATTGATGGGAAAGGGTCATGTTCTCACTTGCCTCAGGCTCTTCACACTTCGCTTTTTCCCCCTGTTCCTGAAGGGGACATACTCCCACTCCTCTCCCCTCCCGCTGCACAATATTACTGTTAACAAACGAAGTAGAAAAAATGTTTTACAAACAGCAGGTAGCAGTCCATGAGTCGTAAAGTTAATTTAGTGAGTAGTGATCCAATTTAAAACAAGTAAATATTGAAATATTAGATTTTTTTTAATTTAGCTACTACTTTGTTTTTAACTGTGACTAAAATATGAAGGAGGGGCGCCTGGGAGGCTCAGTCGGCTAAGCATCCGACTCTTGATTTTAGCTCAGGTCTTGATCTCATGGTTTGTGAGTTCGAACCCCATATTGAGCTCTGGGCTGACGGTGTGGAGCCTGCTTCGGATTCTCTGTCTCCCTTTCTCTCTGCCGCTCCCCTGCTCGTGCTCTCTCTCTCAAAAGTAAATAAACATTAAATATGAAGGAAATTTGGGGACTAGGATTGAATAAGAGCTTACCTTCTGGAATTACTATGGAGTTCCCATAATACCTTGTGGAGTTACTATGCACATTAAGTAAGTTTATATGTGTTACGTACACATTTAAGATATGTTTTAGTGACTTTGTTTTTCTTTTTACCTGTGCTTCTTTAGGACTACATCCTGAAAAAGAGGATGCCTTGTTTTGATATCTATGTGAGTTATATAATTCCCAGAAAGAATAAAATAGGTTAGGAAAGAAGTACAGCTAATTTCATTTCTTTGTATTTGAAAGGAAGGGAACCATGACTCTCATGTTCTGTTTAAATGTCAGGCTATTTCCACAGGAGGATATGATGCTGACATAACTCTGAGACGGTGAAGTTACATCAGAACAACTTTTTAAATAAATCGGCATGCAGCCCTTCAACCTTTCCTTCCCCTGCCCCCAAACATAATGTTACTTGTCTGGCCACAGTGTGTTGTTTTGAGGGTAGAAAATGTCAATGTAGAGTAACATTTCCACTTATTTCTATTAATTTCCCTTCCCCTTTAGATTTCACCACCCCATCCTCAGTCCTTTGGAAAGCAGTTTCCAGCTGGAAGTCGACGTCCTGAGTCATCTCCTGAAGGCCCAGGCTCAGGTCTCCGAGTGGAAGTTCCTCCCGTCTCTGGTGAACTTGCACAGTGCTCACACCAAGCTGCAGACTTGGGGCCAGATCTTTGAAAAGCAGCGGGAGACCAAGAAACATCTGTTTGGAGGGCAGTCTCAGAAGGCCGTTCAGCCCCCACACCTTTTCCTTTGGCTGATGAAACTCAAAAACATGCTTCTTGCCAAGTTTAGCTTTTACTTTCACGAGGCATTGAGCCGACAAACGACTCCTTCAGAAATGAAAACGTTGACTGCAAAAGCCAACCCAGACTTCTTTGGGAAGATTTCCAGCTTCATCAGGAAGTATGATGCTGCCAATGTGTCCTTAATCTTTGACAACCGAGGTTCCGAGAGCTTTCAGGGTCACGGCTATCACCACCCCCATTCCTACAGAGAGGCCCCTAAGGGTGTGGACCAGTATCCAGCTGTGGTGTCTCTGCCCAGCGACAGGCCGGTCATGCACTGGCCCAATGTCATCATGATCATGACAGACCGCATGTCCGACCTGAACAGCTTGGAGAAAGTGGTCCACTTCTATGATGACAAAGTTCAGAGCACCTACTTCCTAACCCGCCCAGAACCTCACTTTACCATTGTTGTCATCTTTGAGTCAAAGAAATCTGAAAGAGACTCCCACTTTATTTCCTTCCTCAATGAGCTCTCACTTGCCCTTAAGAACCCCAAAGTTTTTGCAAGTCTGAAACCTGGCTCCAAAGGCTAGCAGGTGATTTGTGGGAAAGGTTTTCAAGACTGGAAATTGTGTTCTTAATTGCTCTGATGATCTACTGTGGTCTATGATTAGAGTTTCCATTTATTCATGCTTCTCCCAGAGCTAAATTAGAGACAGATCCTCCCTAATTGTGTCGCACACTTTATAAGCAATTAAGGCCAATTGAATTAAGTATCCAAAGAGTAATCTAGGAAGTGATCATGACTACTGTGTATAACCATGGTACAGCGAAGTACTTTCAGTACTGTCTCCTATTTTCCTGTATTTCACGTAGACTGAATATTTATTAGCCTTTGATTTTTCTTTCCACATGTTTTATATTGTTCTAAACTTTCTGTTTTAATGCAATTCCAAATGCTTTCTCCTTTCCCTTCCTTCCGGGATGAGTAATTGGGATAAGATATTAAATGGCCTTTTCAGAATCAAGGACTGTACGTTTTCTATCTCATAAATTAGCAAAGTTAACATAAAATTATTTTATGATTCTCATCAACAAATTAATATTTTGGATGCCAAAGCTAGTGTCTTGGTGAAAAATAGCCATCAGTTATTGAAATTAAAGGTGAACCAGAGTGGTCCCATAACATCAGGTGTTTAACAGTTCAGAAGATCCGTAGAAACTTTAATAGTCATGGGCTCTGTTTTGGGATGATCTACACACCTAACTGCATTTCTTCTTACCCTTGAAAAGTTTGAATTTTTCATTCTGTTTGAAAGTTAGCAGAAGCCATTATGTGGGGTTTCTTCATTCTTCAGTATATTATCTGCTTGGCTTTCTGTTTATCACCTTTCTGCTGAAAGGCATGTTCATGTTTGACTCCACTCTCTGCTTCCTCTTCGGCTGGAAAAGCATGTAGTCTTAGTTTTTCGTCCACTTTTAGACATTCATGCAACTCAGCCTGCTTTTATAATGTCAAAATGTTGGTCTTGATACCTTGTGCTTGCTAAAAATCAGTTGTGTGTGCCAAAGACCTCTTCATAGTTGAATAATCAGACGAGTACTTAAGCACATCAGAACTTGAGTTTCATGCCTGTCTCCTCCAAATTATTTTTAGAAGCGGTGATGTCTCTTAACACATGCCGCCTTCACACTTTCCTTCCGCAGGTGTTCCTGGGGTAGTAGATGGACCCCTAAAGGTATAATGGGCCGTGGAGGACTTCACTTCTAGGTTATTGATTACGAATAAAAATAAGCCACAAAGAGTAATTGAGTTGTTACTATCTGATAGTTCCTTCAAAACTTGTGTGTGACATAATCGGATCAGTCCTGTTTCTCACGATGGCACGGAGCCACGGTTTTACTGGGCCGCCACAGCAGGCAAGCTGGCAACATGGGCAGAGCCACTCCCAGTCTGTGCCAGGAGGCCAGCCCACCTTGGTTGGGACTACCTGGTGGAAGGACCTACTGGCCCATTTCCTTTCCTTTTCCTTTTCCTTTCCTTTCCTTCTCTTTTCTTTCTTTTCTTTTTTCTTCTCTTTTTTCTTTCTTTTCTTTTGCTTTTTTCAAAATAAAAGTCCTATGATTTATAAAAAGCCAGTTTGCTTTAAATAGAAAGCAGCGATTGACTCCTGCACTTTATTCACTCTGGTCATATAAAAATCCGAACAACACTGAACTTTTATAAAAAACTGGAAAGAATTAGAACTAAAAATTCAAATCATTTTTCTTCCCTTTTGTATTTTTCCGGGAAAGTGAAAAATATTCCTTGGTGTTCACGTATTTTTTTTTTTTTTTCTAGAAAACAATCACCATTAGCCTTAATGAAATGATCCCCATGTACCTAAAGAAATATGCTTCAGTGGAACTTGGAGAAGAGTGTAAATAAAACAGACAATATATTTAAATAACCAGTCCTTGCCTGGGAAATGTATATTTCCTATGTATTTGAAATGTATATTTATTTTTAAACATATTTTGGTTCAAGCCAAGAAACAAAGTGATTCTACTCTGAGACTTGTCCTCTTAAATCAGTAATGAGATGATCTGTAAAGTCTGTGTTTTGGTATAGGGAAGAGTAAATCCGCATATTCTCTGAGGACTGTTTACTTGGAAATTGTTTCTGGGGTGCCTGGGTGGCTCAGTTGGTTGAGAGTCTGACTTTGGCTCAGGTGGTGATCTCACAGTTCGTGAGATCCAGCCGCATGTCAGGCTCTGTGCTGACAGCTCAGAGCCTGGAGCCTGCTTCGGATTCTGTGTCTCCCTCTCTCTCTGCCCCTCCCCCCTGCTCAAAAATAAATAAACATTAAAAAAAAATTAAGAGAAATTGTTTCTAAACCACAACTTGATCAGTTTTTATGCATAACCAGGAGTGTGGTCAACACTTACTGAGTTTGCCAACAAGCCCATCAAGGAGTGTTCATTTTTCGATGTTGTTTGGACACAGGGTGAACATTCACAGCTTTGTCCTCTTGGGTCCAACCTGGTATCTGACTATATCATTTCAGGGTTTTAGGGAGTGTGTGAAAATACAGCCATTGCCCCTTATAAACAGCTTTGCTTACCTCAGTCTCATTTATCCATGGTCACCCGAGGTCTGGAAGCTGAAAGCCAATTCCTCCTCCTGACGAATCATCAGGAAGTCAGTAGCAGCCTACTGCTACCTCACAAAGCCTGTGTCATTCACCTCACTTTATCTCATGGCGTCAGTATCGTATCATCTCCCATCATCAGAGAAGGGTGAGGACAGCACAATCAGATTTTTAGAGACAGAGCCCACATTCACATAACTTGCATTACAGTACAATGTTATAACTGCTCTATTTTATTACTGGTGTTAATTTCTTACTGTGCCAACTTGTAAATTAAACTTTATCATAAGTATGTATGTATAGAGAAAACCATAGTATATACAGAGCTTGGTACTGTATACAGTTTCAGGTGTCTGTTGGGTGTCTTCAGCGTACTTCTTGCAGATAAGGGGGACTACTGCACAGCTTCTTAACTAAGGATTCAATACTCCCGATATTGCTTTGTATATTTCAACACATTGTAGAAAATTCACTTACAAGAAAGAAAACGGTTGGTAACTCACCGCACTCCCGTAGAGTCACTCATATGATCTGTAAAATGCATCCACCTTTTGATCGAGCAGCAAACTTGGCTTTTGTTTTTTCTTTCTTTTTTTTGCTTGTCAGCCTCTGGGCTTACTTCCTTATCTGTAAAATGGGGATAAGAACATATGGGCTGCCTTTTTCAAAGGATATATAAGAATGGAATGACATCATGCATGTAAAAAAGGCTTTGGAGCTTACTTGGGTTTGAAAGCTGTATAAATAAAAGACGGACCATTCTTTCCTTAAACTCAGTACCTCTCCTGTTCTCGTCTTTCTCTTCAGATCTGTGGCATAAGTGTGCTTAGTCATTATGTCTGAACGGTACTTAAAGAACTCGCTTAGAAGAGGAGGCAGATAAATGCCTAACCAACTCACCCTCCCCTCTCTCCTTATTTTAGGGATAAGGTGGTTCTTTGTTTCCAAATTCTTATGCTTGGTTGATAGCATCATTCAGTTCTATATTCTTACTGATATTTTCGGGGGAGGAGGGGATCTAGGTGCTCTTTTAATTACCAAGAGAGGTGTGTTAAAATCTAACTGTGATTGTAGAGGTCTTCCTTTATTTCTGCAGCATTTTGCCTTTTGTATATTGAAGCCCTTATTAGGCCCATATACATTCACAATTTTTCTTTCTCACATATTGATCATTTATCAGTGTGAAGTTTCCTACTTTATCTCCATCACTACTCCTTGCTTTGAAGTACATTTTGCCTGATATTTTTATGACCCTTCCAGTTTGTTTCTGCTGACTGTTCATATGGTATGTCTTTTCCTATCCTCTCACTATTTGTATCTTTATTTTTAAAGTGTCTACAGTAAGAAATAAAGAGAGAATACTGATTACAAGGAGCAATAGCCAACTCTGCTCTGCAATCTGACAATCTCCACCTCTTGACTGAAGTGTTTAGTTTATTTCATACTTATGAAGTTTTTACAGTCAGGACTTTGCTGATGGTATCCTTAAGCTATCAGTGATCATGCTTTTCTATCTTTTTTTTTTTCCTTTATGTTGGAAGTTAGATCAAGAGGTTTGATCAGATTTTTCTTTTTCCTTTCTCTTTCTTTCTTCTTTCTTTCTTTCTTTTTTTGTAGTGACTATTGTGTATTTTATTTGGAGGTAGCTAATATGTGGCATACCTGGATCAATTATATCACTAGAGGTTACAAAACAGTGATATTCTAATTATGTCATTCCTTTTTCATTTGTTAGGTGGAATACTTCTATGAGAATAAACTTTACGTCTATTTGGTTATATTAAAGAACAGTTCCTATAGGAAGGGCTTGATTCTTTTGCCAGTTTTTATCTTAATTTTTTTAAGATTTTATTTTATTCTGGTTTTCTTTTTCAAAGATTTTATTAAAGGTCTTTACAGAGCAAAATCCAAACTCCAGATGCAGCTGCCACGGAGACCCTGTTAACATTGTGGGTACTGGCTGAGGCATGGCAGGGAGCTCTGACTTCCCACCCTCCTGTCCCGAGATGGGGTTGTTGGAGAGTATCTCATATTTGGGTTCCACAATGCTCACATGATCTGGCAGGGGATTCTTACCACTTGGTCAGACTTACCACTTGGGTCTGACGGAAGCATGCTCTTCACTTTGACGCCCAGCACGCCCGGTCTGAGCAGCATATGGCACACAGCAGTGTCCATGTACTAGTTAACAGGGTCCTCACTGTGAGTCATCAGGCCATCCACAAACTTCATGGATTTAGCCCTCTGTCCTTGGAGTTTCCCAGACACCACAAGCTCACAGCCTTTGGCCCCACTCTCCATGATGAACCACAAGACACTATAGCAGGTTCTCCACACGGTGAGGCCTCCTAGGAGTTTATAACGTAGAGACTGCCTGGGCAATAGCACACAGACCTCCTGTGGCCACCTTTCCAGCATAAAGCTCTATGCTGCCCTCGGGGAAACCAAACCTCTGCTGAACT